GGCGGGGCGCGGGGGGCGCGTGCGGGGACCTGGAGTCCTGGCGCCGGACGCTCCGTGCTGGGCTCCGAGAGCCGGGGCCGGCTAGGGGTGGGGACCCGATCGGGGCCAGGAGCAGCAAACCCCCCCCCCCGTCACAACCGCTCCCCCCACCCCCCAACCCAGCCTGGGTGAATCATCCAGAAACCTCCAACCGGACCCCGGCTGGGTTTAGCCTGGGAAGCGGGTGCTGATAATGGGGGGAAATCTCCTGGTGCTGGGAGAAGAGTTTGTAGCGGAGGGGTGGACAAAAACGAGTGACTTTTCACAGACGCTTGTGGCCTCCGTCTCAGCCTAAGAACCAGCCAAACCCAAAGCGCACTGGTAGAGGAAACACGAGGCTTTGTTAGAGCATTTGCGAGCAGGGAAAGAGAGTGATAGGTAAATTGCTCCGTCAAATTAACTGCTCAAACGCTCCGCGTCCTGCTGATTATGGGAAGGTGGGGTGCCGGTCCTTGTAGCAGAAGCCAGAAGCACCCCAGGACCGCGACCTCTCACTCTGGGACTGCAGGGCAGCGGTCCCGGCTCGCTCACTCACCACTTGCGCTCTACGACTGCCAGTCCCAGTGGCCGCGCGCCACAGGGGCGTTTCTCTGGTGAAGAAGCCATCAGGGCGCGTTCCTGTGGTGAAGAAGACGCTGTGGCTTTATGCCCACCTTTGAGGAAGGGCCAGCACCACCGGCGTTCAGCTAGTCTGGTTAACACTGGGTGATCCTAGGTGAGAGAAAATCATCATTAGGAGAAACGAGTTTGAAAGACCAGCCGTGGGAGAAACTATATGGGAAAATGAAGCAAGTTGGGGGGAGGGGAGGAAAAGAGAGGAGGGAAAAGTAAGTGTGGCTGGCAGAGGATGCGGGAGCCCACAGACACCCCACACACACACACACACACACAATCAGCTCTGACTAGAGAAGGGGTTTTCTGGTGCTACACCTGGGAGGGGGGAGGGGAGGGAGGATTTTCAAAGTAACTTTTGGGGTTTGTTTTTTCTCTTGATCCTTGTTAATTTGGATTTTATTTATTTATTAACTATTGGATTTTACAGCACTTGACTTCCCACCTGTGCTGTAGTGGGGTTCTCTGTCCCCAGCAGAGCACCCACATCCATCTCTGCAGTCCCTTGTGCTCTACCCTCCCATTTTGGATTTTTGCTGTGACTATTACAGTTAAATCCTTGTAAAATACTCCCTTGCCATTGGTGCGCTCTTTCCAGGGCAGTCCTTAGGAATTTGGAGGAGGGAT